GGGCCTCTGTCACCGGCAGGCTCATCACCTGGGGGGGAGGGAGGGGTCATGGGGGGTCCTAAGGGCATCTGAGCAGCCCCCAGTGCCCCCTTTTGTCCCCTAGCAACCCCCTCCATCCCAGCATCCCCTAACACTCCCCAGAGCCCCAGTACCCCTTAGTAAACCCCTGTATGCCAGCATCCCTTAGGAGTCCCTGTAGCAACCCCTTCCGTCCCAGCATCCCCTAGCAACACCCTCCACAACCCCTTAGCAAACCACTGTATTCCAGCATCCCCAAGCAAATCCCCTCCATCCCCTAGCAGCTCCCCCACATCCCAGACTCTCCTAGCTACTCCCTGTATCCCCTAGCAACCCTTCCACATCCCAGCATCCCCTAGCAACACCACCCACAGCCCCTAGCAAAGCCCCCATTAGCAAACCCCCATATCTCAGCATCTCCTAGCAACTTTCCTCCAACCCCACTCCATCCACTAGCCAACCCCCCATCCCAACTTCCCCTAGCAACTCCCAGCACCCCATCGTTCCCTAGCAACCCCTCGCATCCCAGCATCCTCCAGTGACACCCCACATTCCACCATCCATGAGTAGGGCCATGAGAAAAGGTAAGTCGGGGAAGGGGAAGGGAAAGGGGCACGGGAGGCATATCGACTTCCGCCACAGGGAGGGAAGGAGTGAGGCAGGGGCAGGACTGAATGGGGCTCCAGGGCAGGTGGTAGCAGGCAGCTCCCCTGGCCTTCCGCCGCCTCTGGCTGTGTGCCGGCTGGCCATACGAGCATGGGTAAAGTATCGTTTTTCATGGAACTGCTGGGACCCGTCTACTAAGTTCCGGTCCCGTGAAGAGTCCATAAAAAAAACGATTTTCAGCAAAAAATCTGCCGTTTTTCAGGGCCCTATCCATTAGCCAGCCCCAACATCCCCCAGCAACCCCCTTCCAGCCCCGAGCAAGTCCTCATCTGAGACTTCCCTAGCTACCCCCATATCCCCTGGCAACACCCCCACATCCCAGCATCCTCTCGTAACCCCCAGCATCCCATAATTCCCTAGCAACCCCTCTCGATCCCCTAGCAACTCCCCCCCATCCCAGAACCCCCTAGCAAACCCCAGCATCCCAGCATTCCCTTGCAACCCCAAGCATCCTCTAGCGACCCCCACATCCCAGCATCCACGAGCAACCCCATGCCAGCATTCCCTAGCAACTCCCATCATCCTCTAGCAAGCTCCCATGTCCCAGCATCCCCTAGCAATCTCCCTCCAACCTCTAACAATTCTCCCACATCCCAGACTCCCCTAGCTACCCATCTCCTAGTTCCCCACCCCCCCACATCCCAGCATCCCCTGGCAAATCCCTGCATCCTCTAGTAACCTCTCACATCCCTTAACAACCCCTCCACGCCCCAGCATCCCCTAGCAACTCCAAGCATCCCAAAATACTGTAGCAACCCCCCCGCATCCCACCATTCCCTAGCAAACCCCAGCATTCTCTAGCAACCCCCCATATCCTGGCATCCATTAGCAACCCCCTGTATCTCAACCCCCCCCAGTAATCCCCCACAGCAACCCCTTGCATCCCAGCATCCCCAAGCGAACTCCCCACACCCCAGCTCCCCCCACACTCCATCACCACCTCCCCTCTGCCCCTGCCAATGCCCCCCACATCCCAGAATCCCCTACCGACCCCACAACCCTTACAACCCAGTCACCCTCTCGCAGCCCAGTATCCCTTAGCAACCCTCCCTTTCCCCCAGCTCCCCACCTCCAGCCTCGCAGCACCCTCCAGGGGCCGGACTGACTGACCTCGTGCACCAGCACCTCCTCCTGCAGGCACTGCAGTGGAGGGTTGCGCAGCTTCTCCATCGTCTCGTACATGCCCTGGCAGCTGCGCAGCTTGTCCACCGAGCCCAGAGTGCTGCGCAGCAGCACCAGCCCCACGCGGAAGATGATCTTGACCCCTGGGGGGGTGGGAGGAGGCAGGTGGTTAGCCACAGGGCAGGAGACAGATGGGTTAGGGGAAACAACAGGGACTGTGGC